TCCTCCTGATTACTGGACGATACAATATCGGTCAAAGCAATTGGAAAAGTTGCTGGCAAAACATCAGACTGTTAATTAGAGTTTAATCAAGCATGCAATGTAAACCAGAATTAGCTAACAACTGTCCAATTAAAATACCCATAATTGAAAAAAAAAAGTTAACTAATTTGGATGTTAAAATCATCAAATCGCCTATATTTTGCCCTTCCTTGGCCTCAAAATTGACTGGTAAAAGTTAAAATTGATAAAAGTTCCCTCAACCCTAGAACCCGGCTACACAGCTTTTGATTTTATCGGCGATTTTTTTGCATATTATTTAATGTGCTGAACTGCAATGCACCTGATTTAATAAACCGGAAAGTCCCAGTTTTACAATATTTAGGAATATATACAATTTAATATACCAAAACTATCTTATCTTCCCCCTCCCCTCTCCCCTTTCCCGTGCTATTTTATCTACCCGCTCCTCTCTCCCTCCTCCCTCCCCTAACCCATTTTAACTTCCCTTATTGTCTGCTAAGAGAGCAGTATCATTTTAATTTTCATTCCATTATCTCCTATCCCTTCCATTTGATAGTTTTTCTTTTTGCTTATATTTTATAACATAAAAATATCTTCCCAACATTGAAACAAGTTTGAAAAACTTACGTGCACATGCCTGTTTCAGCAAATCAAAGTAGACGTCTGTCGTCGGATCCATGCCAAAAAGAAATGTCTGGGCTGTCAGAAAAGTCAAACAATCCTTGATCAATACCGCTTAGAATTACCGGTATGAACGGCCGGCCTATTCGTATTTTCGCACTGCAACTTGGAACATCAAATACCCAAATAACTCGAAAATGGAAACATTTACCAAACAAGTTTCATGAACGACGACGAGATATAAAATCAAAAAATTTTCACCGCAAAATTTTCCATCAATAGTTTCTGTGACTGAATAAATATGGTAAATATGGCTAAATCTGCTTTGCTTTAATACTCTATATGGTAAAAATATGACTAAAACTCTCAAAATTCCTAATATATCAATCTATTCATCCACAATCGTACTTACCATTCACTGACTAACTACAACCTAACAGATCAAACGAAAATGGGCTATTTTGCGAAAAAAGTAGAAATACTGAGTAAGTTGGAAGGAAAAACTGAGCGAACGAATTATATAAAGCAAAAAATAAACAGGCACTGCCTCAGTTATTTAAAAAAAGAAACATTAGATAAAACAAACTGAGGAGATGTGGAACTCCTGGAATAAAATGAACAAGAAAAAAATCAACATATTTATTTAATAATATCATCCATAATAACGATAACAAATGCTCAATGTGAAACAATAACGACAACTGATCACACTTTGTTGAAGGCCACTATATCGACGGATTGTACCAGTTCTTCAAATCCGGTGATCTGTTCCTCCAGCCAATCCGATGATACTTTCTCGTCCTCTACCACACAGCAGATCTGTAAATTAAGTCAATTTCTCATTTGGGGACCATATTTCAGTCACATTTGGACAAGCGGAACCTCACAAATTGCGCAGACCACTCCCTACTATTGTGGAGTTAAAAAAGCACAAGCAACTTTGCTAAGCCGAGTACACAGCATCCAGGTTGACCGTGAAAGCATAACTAGAGGGGCGGGGGCGAAGGAAGGGGGGGGGGGAAAGGGAGGAGTGATAGAATACTTTAAAAAAAGCAATATCAGATGAGAAGACCAGAGTGAGATAAAGCATTTCGATCCATTAAGTCATATACGCCTTAACTCGATACCGCGACTGGACCCATTCAGTATGACGGTTGGTTGAGTACCAAATGAGGAAAAGAAAGGTGCAAAGGTTGCTAAGTCATCCCATCAAATGCATTCAGTAAGCACTGGCCACCTTTTCTAAGTGTAACTGTACTCTCCGATGAACATCCACTTTGTTGTCACTTTCTTTCCCTTTAATACCATGCAAGTTCTGTGATTTCCACTATTAAAAAAAAGTTAAAAGTTATTTTTAGAAAAATTGATCGGGGCCGATCATTTCGCAGCAATATTATTGAAACGCAAAATAGAATTGCTACAGTTCCCGCATACTAATGACTTATCACCCATAAGGCAACACGAGAACCAAAATTCAATTAAATGATGAAAAATTTAACGGTTTTGCTAGGATCAAAGCTAGACTGTAATGATTCCTTACGCTTACATAGCCAAGGAACCCACAGCATCCCAGCTCTAGTAGTTATTGCGGTAAACAACAAAACGCAAGCAAATACATGGATTTTGATTTTAATAAAATACATTTACGCTTAAAAAGAAAAAAATCGTTACTTGAAGTTTTTTGATGCCATAAGCAACAGGTAGAACTTTTGCAGTTCCCCAAACAAGGCCATCCGTTTCGATGGCACGAATATTTTTCTCGATATCGGCCATTTCAATTGAATCATCCCACGGTTTCACATCGAAAATAATGTTCGATTTTGCAACCGATGCTGGCTTCTTCGCTTTCCTCTCCTCATATGCCTGCAACATAAATTAAAAGTGCACTGTTTAACTATTCCAGCGAACTTTTTTTTTATATCTAACAAATATACAGAATAGCAATATTAACAACAACTCAGTATACTCCAAGAAATGTTAGACTGAACAAGGCAAGAATGAGAGACAACACGTGGACAAAGTGAACTGCTGATCAGTTACCAAGCAATGACAAAGGAAACACAGAAATTCGCAAATACAATGAATCCGCCTGTACATCTAAACAAGATTGCGCGCATGACCGCCAGAACAGGCTTAAAAATGCAAAAAAAAACTTGCAATGCATTTAATAATCCTAGCAACATAACATCTATTGTGTTTTAGTGGAGGGGCCCGGTAATAATCAGTAAGTTTCACAAACGTCTTGAAATTTCGCTAAGTGCTACCGGTAGGAACGATGTTCTGGTAATTCATTTACACGCAAAGCACAGTTCAGCAATGCCGCCAATTTGTTCCATCTTGTGAGAGATCAAATATCAAAGGAATTGGGAGAGTTGACAAATACACAGTTGAAGAGACAGACCATAAATTAGGGCTGAATCAGGCTGGTCCAAGCAACAGAAACTCTTCCAATCCAGAACTATTTTAAGACCGAAGAGCTACAGCGCATCAGTTTTTCTTTTCGGGATGAAATAAGAAGTGCCCACAGATTTCCGGGAACTTCGACGAGCATTGGAGAGATTTTAAGTGAAAAAGTGTCTAAACATAAAAATGAGAAAATGAGGCATCAGCCAGCATTCCACACCCCCCTGAAAGTGAGGCGTGCAGGGGAATCTTGAAAGACGAAAAATAATCGCAGTTAGGGATAGACAGACGCGAATAGGAGCCTAGGATAATGAAGCGTAAAGTTCCGGGTGAAGAACAACAGTAGACCCTCGAATATTTCCCAACACAACAAGGAAACGTACAAAATATGACCCAGAAATCAGTATCATCACCTTACCATCTTTTTTTGATTAGCAGAAATAATAATAATAATAATAATAATAACGGTAATGATGATAATAATGACAACAATAATAATAAAAGTAATAATAACAATAATAATTCTGTCTTGGATCCATGAACGTACTTTGAGTCGGGCAGCGGTAATGCGTGCCTTTTCCTCATCATCTTCATCATCCGATCCGAAAAGATCAATGTCTTCATCCTCGTTAGCCTCCTCTTTTTGAGCAGCTCCGTTTACTGACGATCCAGCAGTACTGGGCCATCTGAAATATTACGCGTTTGAGTGCGTTATCTGCTTTCATGCGGCATACAACCGTCTAGCTGGAATAACGAATTTACTAATTCTTTTTCAAAAACTGATATCTTACTCGAGAAATGTGTCATTTTAATGAATAGGCTTTCGTCTTCTGCAAACGACAGATTCTTTGTAATGAGCAGTACTAAACAGTCCATCATCGGTGCTTCACGATAATTCATTTGTTGCTTAACACAACTAATTTAAATTTGATCTATACCAATTACAGTTATCACAATCGCCGTACTGACGAGGTTTAATTGTGGTAATGGTAAGAAATGTATACGATTTAATGTACCGAAACATTCCCTGCCTTTATAATAATTCTATTAAAATAATTCTACTACTTTTACTAATTCCATAATTCTTATTTCTGAATTTTCTTTTCGATTCTTTTTCCTTTTTCAGTACACCCTGCTTCTATCAACAATAGGGCTAACAGCAGCACATTGGGGCTGTCCACTGTTCCAAATGTTTGCAGCGTTGCGGATGCGGGAAATGCAAAATCAACACCACAATCAACTGCGGCACTGAACAGGAATGTATACGACTTAATGGAACGAAATATTCCTGTTTATTTGATTACTTTTTGATAAAGTTTCATAATTTATAAAAGGCTTTATACTTTTTCGTTATGATTAGTAAAGTTATTATTATTGATAACTTTACTAACCATAGTTAAAAAAAAAAGTTGCCAGCTGCATAGGAAGTGACACTTAAACTGCCGATTAACAACTGAAACAAATTTTTGAAGCCTAATAACTAATACTTAAGCGAAAAAGATTACCCTTTTCGTTCGTTGTCACCATAACTTCCAATATTTCTAAACCAGCGTGAAATATTCGCATATTTGGCACTTGGCGCGGAGCCAAAATGACGGAAAAGTGCCACATCTTCACCGGATGGTGTATACCTGTAAATAATACCCAAAACTGAACAACAACTACAGCAGAGGTGCACACGGGCCCTGGAAGGAATGGTCAAAGCGAAACGTTTGTGATCAACGATCGATGATCAACCAAACACTTTGGATACTCCAGAGAGAAGAGAGAGAGAGAGAAATACGAAAATATTAATGTTTTCGTTTGGAAAGGACTTTCACTCGTTATTTTTTACAAAAATTGGCGTCTTTTCCTGCAAATCCAGGGATTTTCCGACGAAATTCCCCATTAAAACCAAGACAAAACTCCCTCTGTATTCGTATTTTTAGGCGAATGTTCCCCGCCCATGTCCGATCCCGTAAAGCTAAATTCAATTTTCGCGCAAGTCAGGGCATCACATAAGGCGTCTTAAAAGTTCTGGCAGGAAAAATTATTACCTCGGGAACCAGAAAAGCTAGAAAGCTGAAACCATACAGTGATGTTCCCTGTTCACGTGCGGTCCGGCAGACTGGAATCCAGATTTCACGCACACCTAGTTTTGTGTGGACGTATCTGCGGGAAAATTTGCTAACTCAGGAACCTGAACAGCTAGAAGGCTGAGATTTCAGGGTGATGTTTTCTGCTTATGCAAGGGTTTCACAAACTCAAATTTAGCTCCCATGCATATACTGAGGTCTCACGCGCGGCCATGTGAAAGTTTTGGCGCGAAAAACACTTGAAGGCCAGAAAGATAGGAGACTGAAATTTTGAAAGAATGTTCCTCGCTCATGTGCAATCTGAAGGTTTTAAATTCAGTCTTCAAGTATGCTTACTTTTTAGGTAGCGACGAAAATTTTTAATGAGAAGTTTTCTTGGAACCAGAAAACATATCCACCGTTTTTTCAAACACCAAAGTATAAAATTTTGTGGAAATTCTTAGCAGGCAAACGTTCGCTGGACGGAACTGCGTGAAATGCATGATCGAACTAGCTACCCTGGCGCGCGCTACAATTTATTTTTTTTTCTCGGACAGCCTTCCCTCTCTCTGCAAGTTATAATTTAACATGTGAATGGAGTGGATATCATACTGTGGGAAAATGCGGTAAAATATGTTACCCTGTGGCGTATGGAAAATCCTTCAGGTGTTCATCAAACGATGCCAAGCCAGCATCGGTTTTCAAATCGAACATTCTCGCTGCGCCTGTTCACCACCAAGTAACCCTGAAATTCAGGAATACCAAACTGCACCCTTTTGCAGCTAAGGGCAGAAAAACGCGATCTTTGCCCAATTCGCTTAATTCGACCTTAAAGCAGGCCCAAACTGCAAAAAAAGGCCTTTGATGATCAGGAATGGGCCAGATCTTTCCACAACAACAGGCCTTTAATAGCCAAAAACAGATCGGCTCCGCCTCGAAAGTAGGTTTGTAATGACCAAAAGTAGGCCAAACCACTCCATAAAATAGAAAGTTTTAATAAAAAGGAATGAAAGGAAAGAAAAAAAGAAAACAAAACATGAAAAGTGAAAATTAGAAAATTCACGAAACTGTTATAAGGCGTTTCGGTCCATTAAGTCGTATACATTTCTTACCATTACCACAATTGGACAATAAAAATTGGCTCACAACAGTTTAGGCTGTAGTTCTGTGAGTGACAATGGCCCATTATGAAATCTGTACTCTCATATAGGGTACAACAATCTATTCTGGTTTAAGCGATATTATCAAAGCAATGTACACCAAAATAGTGAGTTAGACC